ATCCCTGATAAACATAGATGCAAAAATCCTTAACAAAATACTAGCTAACCAAATCCAACAACATATCAAAAAGGTAATCCACCATGACAAGTGGGTTTCATACCAGGGATGCAGGGATGGTTTAACATATGCAAGTCAATAAAAGTGATACATCACATAAACAAAATTAAAAACAAAAATCACATGATCATCTCAATAGATGCAGAAAAAGCATTTGACAAAATCCAGCATCGCTTCATAATTAAAACTCTCAGCAAAATTGGCATACAGGGGACATGCTTCATTATAATAAAATCCATCTATGACAAACCCACAGCCAATATAATACTGAGTGGGGAAAAGTTAAAAGCATTCCCTCTAAGAACTGGACCAAGATAAGGATGGCCACTCTCAGCACTCCTCTTCAACATAGTACTGGAAGTCTTAGCCAGAGCAATCAGACAAGAGAAAAAATAAACGGCATCCAAATCAGTAAAGAGGAAGTTAAACTGTCGCTGTTTGCTGGTAATATGATTGTTTACCTAGAAAACACTAAAGGCTCCTCCATAAGGCTCCCAGAACTGATAAAAGAACTACCCTGAGGCCAGGTGTGGTGGCTCATTTCTGTAATCCCAACACTTTGGTAGGCTGAGGCAGGAGGATCACTTGAGCCCAAGAGTTTGAGATCAGCCTTGGCAACATGTTTGTCTCTACAAAAAATGAAAAATATTAGCCAGGCATGGTGTCACACACCTGTAGTCTCAGTTACTTGAGAGGCTGAAGTGGGAAGATCAATTGAGCCTAGGAAGTCGAGACTGCAGTGAGCCAAGTGTTGTACCATTTCAGCCTGGGCAACAGAGCAAGACCCTATCACAAACCAAAAAAGTACCTGAGGCTGGGTAATTTATAAAGAAAAGTTTTGTTTGACTCATGATTAAGCAGGCTATACAAGCATGGCACCAGCATCTATTCAGCTTCTTCTGAGGAAGCTTTTACAGCAAAAGTGAAAGTACAGCAGGTGTGTCACATGGTGGTGACAGAGAGAACAAGAAAAGAGGTGCCAGGCTCCTTTAAATCACCAGCTCTTCCATGAACTAATAGAGTGAGAACTCAGTCATTACTGCAGGGAGGACACCAAGTCATTCACGAGGGATCCACCCCGATGATCCAAACAACTCCCACTACACTCCACCTTAAACATATTTCAGCATATGATTTGGAGGGGACAAAACTCCAAACCATAGCACTAAATATAGAAAATACTGACGCAGGAGCTCGATCCAAAGATTTTTATTTAATTTGTCTGCCATAATATCTGGATATCAGGAGGTTTTTTCTTTTTTACTGTGTGACTCTAGCCAAGAAAGTGTTACACAGCCCCCCAGGTGTTTCTAATGACTGGCCTACACCATTGCTATTCACGTGTCCTGTGAACCAGCAAGGTCGGCATTACCTAAGTGCTTGTTAGAAAATCACTCTCTCAGGTCCCAACCTGCTGAATCAGACGCTGCAATTTAACAAGATGTCCAGGTGATTCATATGCACATTAAAATTTGAGAACTCCTAGAACAGACTTTCATTGAATCTCAATTTCACTTACAAGCTGCCCCAGTAGCCATCAATGAAGATATTCTCCTTGCTCATCATTGTCAACTTTCCCTAGGAGGCATCTTTGAAGAAGTAGATTAAGAGGATCCAAGGAAGAAATCCCAATTTTTCAGGAGAAAAACAAAAGGCCAATTTTTTTTTTAAACTGAAGCTAAATCTATTTCTAATTTGCACTAGTTTCAAATTCTCCACTGTTAGAAAGTGAAATGAGTGGAAACTGACAATTTGACTAAATTTGTCGATTAAATGACTTCTCTACATAAACAATTTTGGAATTCCTTGCACATTAATTACACATCATCAAGGTCACTCAAGGCAGCTCTTTCCCAGTACCAACCATGTGGTCTTTACAGTGAAAGACTTCAAGAAAATTTAGTGAATTTAATTTTTAAGTGACCAATAGAATATAGTGTTCTGTTCCTCTGTGTTAAAGCACTTCATTTAAGCTACAGAGAAAAGATGTGTTCATCAATATGTCTCAGTCTCAGAATTAGAGTCATAGGAAAAACTACCATTTATTTCACTGATTCCCACGGAGGATGATTCCTTAATGGAATGCAATCTCTTTGCAATAGAAAGCCTCCTGCAATGTGTCTGTCCTGTAATTCCACCGGCTCCTCTGCTTCCCTAATTCTAGCCAATATACTAGAATTAATAATATATATATATATACAAGCTAATATACTGAATTCTAGGTGAGCCCCCAGTGCTGGAAAGAGAATGCACTCCAGGGAAACTTGGGTAAGCCACTGAGACCACATGGGGAGAAACACAGGGCTTTACAGTAATCCCTGAGAGAAAACAGATTTAACACTGATTCGCATGTTAAACCTCTCAGCAAATTCTGACAAAAGCCTCTAGGGTCTCCGGGAATGAAGGAAGGGCGATAAACCACATATAATGCCCTCAGCTGGAGTTTTCCTCATCAGAGCCAGTGAAGAGGAGATGCTTGATGCTGAGGTTATGCTCAGCTCTGCTATGCCCACCACTCACTCCAAGCTGAGCCAGAAAAGCCATCATTGTGGGTAAGAAACCACTGCTATGATCTACTACAGAGTCTCTTTGACTTTATAAACCTGATCAGGCACTGTTTCTCTGCAAAGACTCAAAGGAGGCAGTATAATAGTATAGTATAAAAGTTCCATATGTGAATCCAGGACATTCATTGGGTAAAAAGTCATGCCCCTCTCTGAGCCTCATTTATAAAATGAAGTTAGATTATTATACCATTTCTTCTATGATTTTATGGTTATTAACAACCATCTTTCTGAAAACAATCTTACTTTCCAGCAGTTATCAGGTGGTATGTTCCTTCTCTCAGTATACCTAGGAAGACAATACACTAAGTGAGGGGCATTCGAAAGAAGGCTATCAAATCAAGCTATCACACTCGGGGTGGGTGGATTGGTGGGTTGATTAGTTGGTACTGGAAAGGAATACAGTACATGAAAGAGCTGGTCTCAGCTGGGCGCGGTGGCTCACGCCTGTAATCCCAAGACTTTGGGAGGCTGAGGCGGGTGGATCACCAGGTCAGGAGATCGAGACCATCCTGGCTAACATGGTGAAACCCCGACTCTACTAAAAATACAAAAAGTTAGCCAGGTGTGGTGACGAGCACCTGTAGTCCCAGCTACTCGGGAGGCTAAGGTAGGAGAATGGCGTGAACCTGGGAGGCAGAGCTTGCAGGGAGCTGAGACCACGCCACTGCACTCCAGCCTGGGCGACAGAGTGAGACTCCGTCAAGAAAAAGGAAGGAAGGAAGGAAGGAAGGAAGGAGGGAAGGAGGGAAGGAGGGAAGGAGGGAGGGAAGGAAGGAAGGAGGGAAGGGAGGGAGGGAGGGGGCGGGCGGGCTAGTCTCCCAGGATTGTAGCTCAAACAATGATATATCTCAAAAAACAGGAGAAACAGTATGTTTGTGGCATAAAATAATAAATATTCCATTCTAATTACCTAACTATTCCCAGACAGCATTTTGGAGACTTTGGAGGGTGATGGTATACAGAACTTTGTGGAATCAGTTTATTCCATCAATGCAAAAATTCTGAAATTGATTACTTGGGTATTTCTATTAAGCTCTCCACCATCTGATCACTCCATTACTTATCTATATTTCTCCAAGGCTTCAGGAAAAACAATGTTGCTGCTAATAAAGCACTTACAGAGAAGGGTAGTAGAAAAGATGAAATGTAGTGTGAAGCTGTCAGTGTATAATGGAGAATATCCTAAACTGTTACTCTCATCAAGCAGGCATTCAGAACAAAGGGCAGAAGACTCAAATCTCACAATTCTGGTTCCGAATTTAAATCTGAGCCTGGACTTGTTCTCTGACCAGTGTATAGCAGAGAAAGGGATTTATTTATGCTTCATAAATAATCTGGAAATCACCTATTGAGCACCTTATTCAAGGAAGACTATAAACACATGTATTTTACATTCACTGTTGATTGCAAAGCTGGAAAACTTTAGAACTCAGATGCTCCAAATTTCCCTTTTTATGCATCCTTAAAGACTACCAAAGAACTAGTGATGTTGAAGTTCAAATCTTTGTTCCCAAGACTACCTGATCCTTCCTTCAAATTCTGTGTTCTTTGTTGCCTTTCACATTTGTCTTTTTACATTTCTGACAAAGTTATGGCTGGTGCCACAATACACAAGACAAGAGATCTGGAACTTAACAGAAACTCAATATGAAACTTATATATATATATATATATTTTTTTTTTTTTTTTTTTTTTTTGAGGTGGTGTCTTGCTCTGTCACCGAGGCTGGAGTGCAGTAATGCCATCTCGGCTCACTGCAACCTCCACCTCGTGAGTTCAGCAGTTTTTCCGGCTTGGTCCCCAAGTAGCTGGGATTACAGGCACACACCACCACATCCAGCTAATTTTTGTATTTTTAGTAGAGATGGCAGTTTTGCCATGTTGGCAAGCTGGTCTCGAAACTACCTGACCTTGGCAATCTGCTCACCTTGGCCTCTCAAATTGCTGGAATTACAGGCATAAGACATTATGCCCAGCCATAACTACCATTTTGGCTTAATCAGCAAATTTTAAGTATTAATCAAGTATAAGATTACTGTTGTTTAAACACATTTGTATATTTTATTTAATTCTTAAATACATAAACTTGTTGCTACTGAAAAGTACATATGTAGTCAAATATTTGAAAGGGTCCTTACCTTCCTTTCAGTAACCAATATTCTAATAAATAAGATTGCAGATAAAACCCCATTTGACCTCAGATTCTTTTAGAGAATCCCTTTGTTTTCACGACCGAAAAAGCTCACTAAATAAACTAAATTTTTGTATTGAAAACATCATTTTCTTTATTTCATCTATATGGTATCTGATTACAAAAAGTAAGATAGTTCCTTTTTGTATAATATCTGTAAAAAACACAAAAATAAACACTGCAGATGTTTTTAAAATATTTTCATGAAGTCGTATCTCCATGCAGCAGTCAATCTATTTTGTTTTGTTGTCAAAGATCTAACCCAATTTTACATCAGTTATCCTCAAAATGTCTTTTCTAACAAGTTGGGCTAAATAAGAGAAAATTGATGAGCTCATGCTAGAAAATCCATAATCAACATTGGAAAAACAAATCAAAAGCTGAAAAGGTCTTCTCAAGCATCCAAGGGAAAGAAAGAAAATACATTTGTCTGGTTCCGCCACTAGTGTCGAAATTCTAGCTGCATTGGATGGTATTGGATTCTAGAAAAATCACACTGAAACTTAGAACCACAATCAGTTCAAAATATGGTAGGACGTATTCCCACCTGATCTCAGAATGTCTTGGGTATTTTCCTGTATAGCTCAAGTTCTCGTCTTGATAAAGTCCTTGAGATATGTAGCAAGCAATTGGATTATACTCCAAGAGACTTGGATTATACTCATGTCTTCCTTCTTCGTAGATTTAAGACCCATGAACAGGTCAGCAACACACGTCGTGACAGAGTTTATTCTCCTGGGATTCCCTGGTTGCTGGAAGATTCAGATTTTCCTCTTCTCATTGTTTTTGGTGATTTATGTCTTGACCTTGCTGGGAAATGGAGCCATCATCTATGCAGTGAGATACAACCCACGACTACACACCCCCATGTACTTTCTGCTGGGAAACTTTTCCTTCCTTGAGATCTGGTATGTGTCCTCCACTGTTCCTAACATGCTAGCCAACATTCTCTCCAAGACCAAAGCCATCTCATTTTCTGGGTGCTTCCTCCAGTTCTATTTCTTCTTTTCACTGGGAACAACTGAATGTCTCTTTCTGGCAGTAATGGCTTATGATCGATACCTGGCCATCTGCCACCCACTGCAGTACCCCGCCATCATGACCGGAAGGTTCTGTGGTAAGCTGGTGTCTTTCTGTTGGCTCATTGGATTCCTTGGATACCCAATTCCCATTTTCTTCATCTCCCAACTCCCCTTCTGTGGTCCTAATATCATTGATCACTTCCTGTGTGACATGGACCCATTGATGGCTCTATCCTGTGCTCCAGCTCCCATAACTGAATGTATTTTCTATACTCAGAGCTCCCTTGTTCTCTTTTTCACTAGTATATACATTCTTCGATCCTATATCCTGTTGCTAAGAGCTGTTTTTCAGGTCCCTTCTGCAGCTGGTCGGAGAAAAGCCTTCTCTACCTGTGGTTCTCATTTAGTTGTGGTATCTCTTTTCTATGGGACAGTCATGGTAATGTACGTAAGTCCTACATATGGCATCCCAACTTTATGGCAGAAGATCCTCACACTGGTATATTCAGTAATGACTCCTCTTTTTAATCCTCTGATCTATAGTCTTCGTAATAAGGACATGAAACTCGCTCTGAGAAATGTCCTGTTTGGAATGAGAGTTCATCAAAATTCGTGAGCCAAAGATGTGCCATATTTATAAGTTCTAACGAAGAACAAGGTCGAGATGTTGTCAGTTCTTTAGCAGTCTTTTAGTCCTCAGTCTGAGTAGTTAGAGGTTGTATATTTTACCTGGAAGTGTGCCCAGCTGAAATACGTTTTCAACACTGACTCTTTAAACCTTAATTAACTGGTCATCGACATCCACTAAAATGTTTTCAAAGCCTGTCTTTATTAGAATGATAAAATGGAATTGCTATGTGAGATGCCCTCCTGCTGTCATGCCCCATGGTTCACCATTGTATAATTTCTTACTCATAGCAACAAGACAATAAACCCAACTTTGTTCAACTGCAGGTATGTTCCTAGGAGTCTTTGTCTGATGGGAATCAATAGTAGAACAATACCAAGCAAACAGTAAGGCCTCAAACATGTTTTTTAAATATCTCTATCTCAGTTTTTTTACTTACAACAATAATATGTGATTGTTGTAACAAACTCAAGCAATTCAGAAGAATTTCCATCCTCACTCCCATATTCACCAATTTTCCTCTCTGCTCCTCAGAGTCAATACATCTAAATCCCTCTCTCTGGTCCTCAACACCCTTCATAATACATCCCCACTAAACCTATTTCATTTGTTTTCCATTTCTTCCCAACATGAGCCCTCAGTTCTAGTCAGGCCAGTTACTTTATTTATTCCACTCTATCATCTTTTCACCTTTTCTTAGGCTGTTCTTTCTTTCTTTCTTTCTTTTTTTTTTGAGACAAAGTCTCACTCTGTTGCCAGGCTGGAGTGCAGTGGTGTGATCTCAGCTCACTGCAACCTCCGCCTCCAGGGTTCAGGTGATTCTCCTGCCTCAGCCTCCCAAGTAGCTGGGACTACAGGGGCACGCCACCACTCCCAGGTAATTTTTCTATTTTTAGTAGAGATGGGGTTTCACCATGTTGGCCAGGATAGTTTCCATCTCTTGACCTCATGATCCACCCACCTTAGCCTCCCAAAGTGCTGGGATTACAGGTGTGACCCACCACGCCTTGATAATTTTTGTATTTTTAGTAGAGACTGTTTCACCAAGCTGGCCAGGGTGGTCTTGAATTCCTGACCTCAGGTGATCCACCTGCTTTGGCCTCCCAAAATGCTGGGATTAAAGGCGTGAGCCACCAGGCCCAGCCTAGGCTGTTCTTTCAACCTAGAGAGCCTCACCACATCTTCTGCCATGCAACTTGAGAAAGATATTTAACACTTAAATTCTTAAGTTCTTATTTTATAAAATGTGTATAATTCATGCCTTGTAACAATGTCATAAGAATTAAATCTGATCATTTCTGTAAGAGCCATAGCACAGAAAGAGACATATAGGAGGTTCTGAGTACATATTGTTCTCTTCTCCTTCTTGTCTTCCAAACCTGACTATGGATACCTTTCTGACTATCTTTTAGATGTTTTGTAATCCTCATGGAAACCTATATACTTAAAGATGGCTTATTTAAAAGCCAGTTGGGATAGATATATATTTTATATAAATTTATATGTAATTATATATCTTATACATAGTTGTATATTTTATATATGAAGTTTATATAAATATGTAAAATCTCCTCATATATGTATATATGTATATATAATATGTATGTATATAGATATATGTATATAGAGAGAGATAGATATAGATAAAGATTAGATATAGATTTGGCAACCATAAAGGGATTGATTAGACAGCCAACTTTGAGTCAGACTTGTTGTGTCCTGGCTTATCTGCTTACTAGTTGTGTGACCTTCACAAGCAAGTTGCTTAAATGCTATGAACTTCATCTGTAAGATAGGGTAATAATAACACCTTAGAATTGTTGGTTTGTTATGACTTAATACTTATAAAGCACTTAGAACTATGCCTGGCAAACAGTAAAGTTCAATAAATATCAGCTTTAAAAAAATTATTCAACTGTAAAAGATCATGGTAGCTTTCAAAATCAGCTCATATAATTTTTCCATTTAACAGATACATTATGTTCCATTATATGAATGTTTCATCATTTATTCATTACTCTATGATAATATATTATATCTTATATTTTATAATTAAAACAATGCTATAATTAATATTCTTGAATATGGCCTCTTAGAGCCACATTGATATTCCATAAGTTAGAGGAAGAGTTTATGGAACACTGGAAATGTGCATTTTTAATTATGCTAAATACTGGTAAATTAGATGCCCTAAATAGTGTGGGACAAATGGTGCTGGGGCAAGTAGATATCCATAGGCAAAATAAAGAAGTTGGAGACCTATCTTACACCATTTACAAAAATTAATTCAAAATGGATCAAAGACCTAAATGCAAAAACTAAAATTACAAAACCCTTCACAACCTAGGATTAGGCAGTGGTTTCTTAGGTATGACACATAAAGCACAAAAAACTAAGGAAAAAAATCAGTAAGTTAGACCTTATCAAAATAACAATTTTTGTGCTTCAAAGGATACTATCAAGAAAGTGAAACGGGCCGGGCACGGTGGCTCACGCCTGTAATCCCAAGACTTTGGGAGGCCGAGGCGGGCGGATCGCGAGGTCAGAAGATCGAGACCATCATGGCTAACATGATGAAACCCCATCTCTACTAAAAATACAAAAAATTAGCCGGGCGTGGTGGCAGGCGCCTGTAATCCTAGCTACTCGGGAGGCTGAGGCAGGAGAATGGCCTGAACCTGGGAGGTGAAGCTTGCAGTGAGCCGAGATCGCGCCACTGCACTCCAGCCTGGGTGACAGAGCGAGACGCCGTCTCAAAAGAAAGTGAAATGACAACTGCTATGGCTTGAAGGTCCGTGTCCCCTCCCAAATTCATATGTTGAAATCCTAACCCCCAGAACAATAGTGCTGGGAGGTGGGGCCCTTGAATTTGATTAAGTCATGAGAGTGGACCCCTTCTGAATGGAATTAGTGCCTTTATAAAATAGGCCAAAGGAGTTCATTCGCCCCTTCAACCACGTAAAGACACAGCAAGAAGGCACAATTTATGAACTAAGAAATGGACCTTCATCAGACACCAAATCTGTTGGTGCATTGATCTTTGACTTCCCCATCTCCAGAACTGTCAAAAACAAATTTATGTTTTTTATAAATTACCTAGTTTATGGTATTTTCTTATAGCAAACTGAACAAACTAAGACAAGATTTTTAGCCCCTAACATTTAGAGACCAAAAGTACACTAGTAGTGGCCAAGGGCTAGAAGGAGAGGATGAGAAATAACAACTGCTAATGGGTACTCAGTTTCTTTGGGGGTGATAAAAATTTTCTGGAAACAGATAGTGTTGATAGTTGTACAACCTTGTGAATATACTAAAAATTACTGAAATACATGAGTAAATTTTTCATCAGGAAACTGCAGATCAAATTCATATTAAGATATCAACCTCACATATGTTAGCATGGCTACTACCAAAAAGACCAAAGATAACCAATGTTGACAAGGATGGGAGTAAAGGGAATACTCTATACTGTCAGTGGGAATGTAAATTAGCACAGCCACTATAGAAAACATGGAATTACCTCAATAAATTAAAAATAAAACTACCATATAATCCAGCAATTCCACTTCTTTGTATGTATCCAAAGGAATTGAAATCAGGATCTCGAAGAGATATCTGCACTTCCATGTTCATTTCAGCATTATTCACAATGGCCAAAACATGGAAGCAACCCAAATGTTCATCGATGAATGAACGGATTTTTTTAATGTGGTATAAACACACAATGGAATAGTATTCAGCATTATAAAGGAAAGAAATTCCGCCATTTGCAACAACAGGAATGAATCCGAAGGACATTATGCTAAGTGAAATAAGCCAGATACAGGACAAATACCACATAAATGATGAATGCAAAATAGTTAAATTCACAGAAGCAGAGAGTGAAATGGTGCTTGTCTGGATTAATGGGAGAGTAAAATAGGGAGGTATTAGTCAAAGGGTACAAAGTTTCTGTTATGCAAGATAAGTCCTAGAAATCTACTATATGGCACAGTGCTTATAGTTAACGATACTGCTTTGTATACTTAAAATTTTGCTAAGAGGGTAGATCTTATGTTAAATGTTCTTATCACAAAATAATAATAATGATCAATAAGTGGATGGGAAGAAACTTTTGAAGCTGATGGATATGTTTACGGGCTAGAATGTAGCAATGATTTCACAGATGTATACTTCTCTCCAAACTCATCAAGTTGTGTATATTATACACCTACAAATGTTTGGATGTCAATCACATCTCAATAAAATATTTTTTGTTCACCTAAGTTTGTTCTCCAAATAAATCTGAAAAAAAAACTCAGGTCCGCAAATTTTCTACTGTATGACAGAACCTGGTCTTAACTGTCTACCTGTGCTCTACTAACCTCTAATGGCCATTATGCTTCCATGATATGCCTAAGAATGCACAGGAAAAAACCTCAACCCACCCCAAAGTAATATGAAAAGGAGGATAAGCCAGGTACAGCAGCTCATGCCTGTAATTCCAGCACTTTGGGAAGCTGAGGCAGGAAGATTACTTGAGCCCAGGAGTTGAGACCAGCCTAAGCAATATAGTGAGACCCTATCTCTGAAAAAAATAAAAAATAAAAATTAACTGGGCATGATACACACACCTGTAGTCCCAGCTATTTAAGAGGCTGAAGTGGGAGGATCCCTTCAGCCCACAAGTTTGAGGTTTGCAGTAAGCTGTGGTCGCACCACTGCACTTCAATCTGGGCAACAGAGCAAGACCCTGTCTCAAGAAAAAAAAAGAGAGAAAGAAAAGAAAGAAAGGAAAGGGGTATATTGGTTAATAGAATTTTCTAGTTAATTGCTGGCCAGAAAAAAAAACAACAACAAAACAACTTTGATACTAAGTGTTAAAGCATTCCAGGCTAGGTGCAGTGGCTTTTCCCTGTAATCTGAAAAGGGAAAATCACTTGAGACTAGGAATTGGAGACCAGCCTGGGCAACATAGCGAGACCCCCGTCTTTAAAAAAAAAATTAGCCAGGCATGGTGGCGTGTGCTATCGTTCCAGCAACTTGGGAGGCTGAGGTGGGAGGATCGCTTAACCCTGGGAGATTGAGGCTTCAGTGAGTTGTGTTTATACCACCGTACTCTAGCCAAGGAGACTTTGTCTCAAAAAAA